TGAAACTAGGAGAGCTAATACTGATGAAAAAAATGATTTATAATTAGGAACTAGTTTGTTTTGACTTATAAATGTGTGAATCTCACCAATTTTCATGTTATAACTAAAATAAAAAACAAAAAAAGTGTTGTTAAACAGTACAATGTGCATTAAATTATATTGGTGAAAAAATAACATGTATTTTTGTTTGGGTGAATAAAAAACATGACGTTTTAAATAAGTATTTCGATTTCAAGCGAATAATACGACCAGAAACTTGTACTTTTAAATTGTCAAATAAACTCAAAAGGGGAAATTAGGGGCAATGCATATAGTTTTAATAGGTTATAGACATGTTGCATTTACTAGTTCAAGTACTTGATATAGGATGATATATGTTGCATTTACTAGTTCAAGTACTTGATATAGGTTCTCGTAGGTTCCTTAACCTATCTGACACTTTTTGTACAAAATAAAAGTATTAAATGTTATAAACTTACCTCGTTATTATAAAGCCAGTTTATAAATGTGTTTTAAGTGTTGATCTTTCCTTCATATTATTTTCGTAAAGTTATATTATTAAATAGTTAAAATAGAAAAACTGCGCATATAAGTATGCGCATATATACAAAAACTAATTGTACATAAATGTATTTTTTTTTTAAAGTTACTGTTTACTAAAGTTAAGCATAAAAATGAAAAAAATTTACGCTTTTTTGTAAAAATAACATGATTTATTATACATGGAACCGCAATTGGTTTTTGTAGTTTAGAAAGATACTATTATACTCAAATAAATTTGTTAATAAGACAATAGAGTATTACGACTATGTTTTATTGTAAGGTTTTTGAAATAACCAATTTTCATTTTTGAGGTTTTGTCCACAGCCTGGCCCACTGTGCGCTGGCGAGATGACTTCCTGCATCACTTAATAGCTAGTTATAGAAAGTTTAAAAGCACAGGTACCTTTCTAAAAGTGAATTTTAATTCATTTCCTGTTATAAGCAATATAAGATGGAACTGGAGAGCAACTTTTTATCTACTTGCTTACATTCTAATACCAGACTATCAAGAATCGAAATCTGCTCAAACAGCATGCAACTTCATATGTGGTTCATGGGGTGATATATGATTTAGTGATCACTACTTCAACCCTTCAGATTTTGTTAATCTATTAGAAGCATGCAATGAGCATCCAAAAACATTAAAATCGTTGAAGACATTTTGGTCCACAGAGCCAACACCGATTCCAACACAACAATCAAATATATATGCAGAATGTCTGGTAAAAGTGATGCAAGATTTAGTTCCTTTTTGTCATAGCATAGAAAAACTTAACATTAAGTACTTATTGTCAAGTACACTGTAAAATTATTTTAATTATTCATGTTTTATAGGTTTTCCGTAAAGTACTGAAACATGTATATTCCATAAATCTTCTTTTTAAATGGGAGGTGAATTTTTTTTGATATATAGTATAAATGTTTGATATTTTCTTGATTTTTGCATAAAAACTCCATTAAATTGAGTATGGGGAGACAGGTTTGCAAAGTTGTAATACCCCTAATGTTTATGGTAACCAAATACTGTTTGTGTTTTATTGTTTAAAGAACCTTTCCATTAACACAAAATTATAAATCAAAGATTTTATTTTAGTTTTATAATATAATGTTATATTTTATTATAATATAAATTTTTTTTGAATTATATATAAAAAAAATTTTTATAACATTTTTTTTATAGGAAAATAAGAAAGTTTTTAGGTTAATCCATTTTACCGTTAAAGCTGAACTCCAATTGTGTTTCACTATATATTTTTTATAAAATAAAAAACTGAAATATAATGTTTTCTAAGAAATAATAATATTTTAAATAATGAAACCTTCAGCCCCATTTGAGCTTCACTGGTTGGGAAGCACAGGCTTCTTATAAGCCAGTTCTTTTTATTATCATTATTATTACGTCCTGAATGTCTTAATAAAATAATCTAGCTCATTTTTATTCTCTACGGAGCTCTGGGCTTATATAAAAAAATATATATACGCATGACTCAATAAAAACACAAAATTTAATGTTTTTTTGTAATAAATTAATTTTTTTAGTCTTTTATTCAAGATAATTTACTCTAACACTAATAAATAATATAAGGCTTTACGATGTCTTTGTATATTTTATTAAACATTTCATATTTCGTAGAAATAATAAATGTTTAATAATAATCATAGAAATATTTCATAATCGTAGAAACAACCATATTTATTGTATTGCCTTTGCAAAATTTATGCATATTAACAATAATTAGTTGTTATTAGTTTGTATTTTTGTGTGTTTATTTGTGCATCTTGATTTATAGTGAGGCCTAGGACCTTCAGCTAAAGCAGTGGCCCAAGGAAAATCCTTTCCTCCCCCCCCCCCCCAACATCCCCGGCTAGTTCGACCCTTTGCTGTGTGTTTCTAGTTGTAACCAATGCTCTCACAAAGGCGTTATTATCAAGATCGTCATTTATTCCCACATAATTTTCCAGGATGCTTTTTATTAATTTATCTACTAGTTTGACTCTTCCATAATATTATTATTGCCAATTGTTGTAAAAAAATATTTTGTTTTACCAGCTGTAAATTGAGAACCATCGCATAAAATTTCTAACAGAACTTTAAACATAAATTTTATATAATATTATATAGGTCACGCAGACACATAATAAGACCTTAATGCCTGATTTTGCTCTCTAGGCTGTGGTCTACCTAATGTGCGCAGCCAAGGTAAGAGTTCTTGCTTTTTTAAATCTGTAGCTGATTCCTTATTTCATGTTTTTTTAATTTTTAATTATTTAGCTTCGAAAGATTTATATTAGGCTTTGAACACTTAGGACAAAAATCCTGATTTAGTTGGGTCCAACAAAGGAATGATATTGGGAAGAGGAAGGGTTGGAAGACTCTCGTCCCTTCCTGCTATGTGATTTAGAGCAAAGCCACTGTGGTGTTGTATATCCTTTGTTCGATATATTCTTTTAAACGTTAGTAACTTTCTAGTGATTTGTAATCTGTTCAGTGTAAATAATAAATAGTGACAAAAAATAATTTAATAACTTTTAATATTTTTTTACGTTTAAAAATGTAAACAACAGTACATTTAGTTATTTTTCTTTTAAAACATCAGTCTTTAAAGAAAACGTCTTTTGAGTGACGTTTTCTTTAAAAAGAAATAAATGCATTACTCTAATTATATTATTATTATTTTAACTTTTATTTTTCTAGAATAAAATAGCGTATAACAAGGTAATCATTAAACCAAAATGAATTAATAAAGTTTATCAAAAAAATTTATAAATTAAACTTTTTTTTTTTTTCAAATATTTTAATCCGACATTTTCTACATCATATTATCGAAAACGCGTCAAATACATTTTTACATTTCTTGTATTATTTCTCCGATTCTGTCATAAACAAAAAATCGCAAAGTTGACATTGGTTTCGCAGCTCTAAAGAATGAAAAAGTACTTAGATGTTAGTTGAGGCTATGCAGTAGTATTGGATTAAGCTAAACACAAAAACTTTGTTTAATCTTTATTTCTTGCTTTTACCGCAAATTATCCGTATTAAATTTGGATCAGATGTTTTTAACTCTATCATTTTATTTAGTTATAACATCAATTTAAAAAAAAATAGTATAATATACTATAAAAATACTATATTGTGAATTTTTATACGTTTATTAACGTAATTTATATTTACTTATTATAATTTGTACTTTTAAAAACTTTACAAATTTTTTGGTTTATTTGGAACAAACAAATTTTTGAAACTTTTTCGCTGTATTAGTCTGAGTTTAAAAGCCTTAAAAAATATGGTGATAAATAATATTTTTTCAAAATTTCGGAAAACATACTGAGTGTGTTTTGTGAAATTTTGAAGAAATATTGAAGGAAAGATTTTATTCCTAATATTAGATGCTTAGATTCCATGAAATGTAATTTTAGTGATTATGTGTTACGTTTAAGTTTATTATAAAACTTTTAATAAGATAATTACTTAACTATGTTGTTTTATTGCTTCAATTTCTTTCTTTGTTAGTTTCACTAATTTCAAAAGAAGCGCAATGAAAATTGAACAATAAATATTAAACTAATTACCTTTAATAAATAATCCTTTAATTTTACTATAAATACTCTTTTATATTGATTATGTTGTTAAAACTTACGGATAAAACAGCGTGCTTAATTTATTGGTGTGAACTTATTAATATTACTGTTATAATTTTGTCTTAAGTAAGAAATCTATTTAAGAAATAGCATTTATAAATTTCATTAAAAATAAAGCTTGTTAAGTTTTTAAGGAAAAGAGTTTTTTGAAAATTTTAACTGGTTAATTTTTTTTTTTTTTTTCAAACTATTAACAAGTTCCGACTAAAGCTCCATTAAAACTCTACAAACATTACCTTTATGTGTTAATTAACTGTCTTAAAGTTTCAATTAAAATTCCGCAAAAGTTCTACTTTAGTTTTAAATATTATATGCAAAATACGTTTTAGGTTTAAATACGTAATCCTTTTACACATATGACGCGAACTGTGATTGACACCATAGAAAGCGATATGATTATGCCTGCTGTGTACTAGATCGGCGTTTTTAAATAAAACAATGGGTAACCTATTAATATTTACCATTGTTGACAAAAAATTGTTAAAGATAATCTAAACTTTTAAAAAGCATGAGAATCCGTTAGTAACTAAAGTGTATTGTATCGTAAAGTATAAAGTATCTAAAGACTAACGTTTTAGTTAAATTCTAGTGTAAAATGGGTTTTAAATTGTTGGTCTTTAGGTAAAATGGTTATTATTCAATCAAAATAAAAAAATCCCTATCTTATCACTATCATCATCATTACTATTATTATTAAAATATCCTAAAATATTACACAAGTTTCAATTTTGATTTAATTAATTGTCATCAATTTAACACTAAAACTAATTAAAAAGTTATTTGCAATAAAATTTAATCCCTACAAAAGTGAATCGCGCGACAATCCACTTAGAGTAATTAAAACCGTATATTTTCTGAATGTTTTTGTGTCAAATATTTTCTCGCTATGGAGAACTCACAAAGCAAAAGCAAAAAATCAAGCTTTATGGTGGAAGACATTTTGTCGTTAGAAATACCTAGATACGGAGAAGAAAGTGAGCATATTTGTCGATATTTTATTATTATATAATTTGAATCTAAATATAGTTCACCATCAATTCGCCATAGTAATCTTGATTTAAAAAAAGTATTTATATACTTCTATAAACTGCTTTCTCTATTATATTTTTATTATTATGGAATTTATTTAATCTTAGTTCTACTTTATTTTGCTATTGGGTGTCTTTTGCGTTCGCAAACTGGGATCTATGAGGGATAGGCAAACTAGGATATTTGAAGGAAAAACTGGGATTTATGAGAGAAAGACGCTTTGTAGTATAAGTAAATTGAATGGTTTATTTAACCATAGACATAGCGTTTAACCACAGCTACACTGATTGAAGGATTGGGTTTGCGTAGATCTTTTAAATTAAAATATTAAAATATTTTTTATGTTTTCAGACGTGAAGGACACTGTGAGAATTAAAATTAAATTAGAGAGCCAGGCTTGTGGAGTCAATCCGTAGCGAGGGAATTACTGTTTTTAGTTCGAGGTGGAGCTGCAAAATCTTGCGACTCTCTGGTCTCAAATATTTTTTTATTACATACTAAAAATTATATTGTTAAAAACTACAACATGAGTTATGTAACATCTAGGAAACAGCGCAATCATTTTTGTAATATATTTTTAAAAAATGTTCAGTTTTTATTATTGATATGATTTTGAAATTTTTAAAATAGTTTTTTAAAAAACTGCTCAAAGTGGTTTGCAATAGTTTTAATTGTTTGTTATATTTTTATTTGGTTTCTGTAAGTCACAAAATAACGTTAAAAATCTACTTTTGTAACCAATAAAACGCGTTTATAAAAAATCCATATTAGACAACCAATTATATGCATTATTTATTTGTATCGTTAAAAAGCAATTTATAATTAACTACATTCAAATCTAAAAAATCTGCGCGAAAACTATTTCATACAATTTGGCATACAAAAAAAAAAACTTTGGAACTCGTATCAACAATGGTTCAAACAAGGTAAAAATGGTAAAGGACTTTAGGAAAGTCGAAAATTTTTTTTTTTTTTTTAAATTTGTTATTCAGGTGCCCCCAAAAGTTCTAACGGTCTTGTCACTGAGCACCGCGGAAGTGCAATTATCTAGGAAGTTCACGCCTTCTTCCTTACCGTGACGGGAAATATGTCCTAAGCTCGTTTCGAACCTGAATCTCCTGCTTATAAAGCAAGCAGTCTAACCACTGCGCCACGGCCGCACAAATATTTATATCGCATACTGCGTTCAAAACACTGGGATTGATACCGTTGAGCCCAGGATATTTATTTGTGTTTAGTTACTTAAGGCTGTTTGAATTTCACCTAAATACAGATTAGGCTCATCAATTAAAGTGTGAGCTTTTTCCAAGGAAGGCTTAAATGACTAATTTTTCCGAAGCCTCGCTAAATTTTCATCAAGGTTTATAAAAAACTCACATAATTTTACTGCAGTTTCTTTTCTATTAAAAATATCTATTTCAATTTTTGTTTGCTGTCTTTGTGAAGTAGTCTTGTTTTAAGTTTTTGTTTTAACCTTTTAAAAACTTTTTTAAAATTTTTAAATTTAATTTCATCGTTAAAGGTTTTACTTTTTCGTAAAGCTCTTGTCTTTTTTAAGAAAATTTAAAAGACTTTTTGTCATCTGTAAATCTGACCCAAATGTGCATCGAGTGGATACATCTACAATTTACGAAAATATATGAAACTTTTTGTTTTCTTAGTTTTAGGAAAATAAGCTTATAAAAAGATCATATGAGTTATTTCCATCGTTACATACTTTTAATAATGCAAGATTAATTAGTATCTTGAGTAGCTGTGGCGCAGTGGTCAGATGGTGCTTCAGAAATCCAAAAAAAATCCAAGGTTTAATGCCTGCTTTGGCTATATATACATCATTGGTAAGAAAGTTGGCCTAAACTTTCAAGTTAAATGTTCTACGTTATTTCTTTTGACTGTTGGGCTTTCTTGGAGAACCTGAATAACTAAAAAAAAAATTAAGTTTTTTACATTTAGCTTTGCTTATTTAATTTTAGAATTTAACAATTTTTTTTTTAATGAAACACCTGTTTAATTAATAAAAACCAATAATAACAAATCATCAAAGTGTGTGTTCATTTTCTTAGTTAAGTCTTAGTGTACGTCCTTTTTATTACGTGTATGCCCTTGTTCTTAGGTATTTAGCTAAATTCATTTAAGGGTTTATACGTTGACTGATTTATTCAGATATTGAACCATATTTTTAACATTATTATAGAAAAATCTGTTTTCAAGAGATACAAGATACAGACACAGACGATATTGTTAATTTTTATACTGTTGTTAGGCTCCAAGATACACCACAGACAATATTGTTAGTTTTTATTGTTTTTTTTTTTTTTCTAGATGGAGGGCGACCATCACCGGAAATTAGAAAAATACGAACCACTTTTTCTAGTGATCAAGTGTTCTTACTTGAAATGCAATTTAATAAACAAAAGTATCTCTCAGCTGCAGAACGGATCGAGTTAGCGCAAAAACTAAAACTTACCGATAATCAGGTATTTATACATTTTTAATATTATTTTTATATTTTTAAAACTATCAAGTCTTACTATTTATGCTATTTACAGCTTGGGTGGTAGATTACCCGTTTTTATACTATCCAGTGGTATAACTTTAAAAATATTAAAAGGAGAACAGATTATTTTTCATTTACCTGCAGTTCGCCCATTTTTTAAATACTAAAGTTTCAACAAACTTTGTTCCGCAAATTACCCTTAGAATAATGTTAAATATTAAGAAACAAATTTTGAGGTCATTCAATAATCAACATTAATAAACACATGCAATCATATTAAGTTTTTGTTGTTTTCTTAAATTTTTGTTAATAAAATTGAAAAAAAGTTATTTGAGCAAAATATAAAGAACTCAAGTAATAATAATTAAACTAATTTTTCTATTTATTTTAATAACTTTTTTCTATTTATTTTAATAATTTTTTTCTATTTATTTTAATAACTTTTTTCTATTTATTTTAATAATTTTTTTCTATTTATTTTAATAATTTTTAGGTACAAAAAATAAAGTTTAACTTATATTATTTTAGGTAAAAACATGGTATCAAAATCGACGAATGAAATTAAAGCGTCATATAAAACTTCACACCCAAAGCAATATATACTCCCAAAAAATTCAAAATTGTTTACGACCTAATATATTTATGAGCTCAGAGAAAACGCGCAAAGAATTTTTTTCAGTTTCTTCTGTATTATATCCTCAACACGAACATGTATTTATGATGAAAAGAGAGCATGAAAACCGCACAAACATTTATTAAAGCCGGTCGTATTTGTAAATATTTTTTTAAATTGTAAATAGTAAAATTAAAATAAATAGTTTTCAATAAATTTTAGTACATGCATTTATTCAGGGGAGGAAGAGTAGGGTGGAGAAGAGTACACAACAGAACTTTCAAACACCTGAGTTTCATACATTTATTTTAAATTGTGTCAGTTTTAAGTGAACTTACTGGTAGAATTCAAATCAAATTTATTCCTAGTATAAGAGCTGTCTTATATTGGAGACTAACAACTATAAAGTTATATACAGAACTTTGTTCATCATCACCTTCAGTCATTCTTATCTAACTCTAGATTTTTGTAACATTCCAACATATAACCTTATCAGCTAGCTAAAAATTAACATTTTGTTGGAAATTTCGTTATATCCAAAAAAAAAATGAAATTGAGTCTGAGACTGTGATTTGTCTAATCTGTGCTCCAAGTGAAACTTTGATTTATATTATCCGAAATGTCATAACAATCCGTGTAACATCTTCAGTATGACAGAGAGCGATTATCAAAAATTTTATTCAAACCAAAAATTAGGTATAAAACTAAGATCTCAAAAATTTACAATGTTACAATTTAAATACATCGAAAAAATCTCTTCAAACGCTCTTATTTACTTTTTAAAATGTTTAAGGTCCAATATAATCTCTTTTTTTTATCTGTTTTTTTTTTCGTTAGGAGGAATATTCCCTTGTTTCTATTCTAACTCGCTTGCCTCTACTCTAACTTACTTGCCTCTACTCTAAATAGTTATTAAAAGTATATTATGAAACTAAAAACAGTTTAATTGGCGTGTGAATGTTTTAAAGAAATTAATCACATAGAAGTTATAATTCTTAGGCTTCATATACGTGTTTTCCTATTTTATGTTACATATGCACGTATGTATTCAGGCCCGTGCGGTAGATTTTCTCATTATGAGGCAAATCTTCGAAATGCCGCCCCTTAAATGTTTTTCTTTAAAATAACCTTCGATTGTGATTTAAAAAAAAAACTGCACAAAATGTACGAATTCTACTTTTTATTTTGAAATTTTAAAATAATGATTTCAACTATAAACTACAACAATGTACAGTATTACAGCTTTACTCTTCTAACTTTAACTTTAGCAAATTCGTTAATTACTGATGTGTAGTCTAGAGTGCTAGCCATTGCAGATTCAATAGAAATTAATGCCAGATTTTTAAGTTTTGTTTGTCCTATTGAACTTCTTAAGTAGTTTTTTATTAATTTTAATTTGGAGAAACTTCTTTCCCCACTAGCTACAGATACAGGGAGAGTTAATAAAATTCTCAGAGCTACAACAGTATTTGGATACAAACTAATTAAGCTATTTTGGCATAAATAATTTAAAACATCCAAAGGTTTCGTAGAATATGGTAGCATTCTGGATACATCACGCAATTCTTCTCTAAGGTCATTTGCATTTATATCTGTTTCATTTTCAACCGAAAGTATAAACTCAAGACTGGAACAATAATTTTCTAGCGTTTTGTCATCTATATCCTTGAGTTTTAAAATGTCATATAAGAACTGAAATTTTTTGCTATGGGTTTCCAGAAGCGTGAATCGTTCATTCAGAGAATTAAGGGTAATGTCCAGAATATAGTTGAAAAAGTTTATTTTAAATTTTTTCTCCTCTGTTAAGGGTTCATCGACAGCTTTTTCATAGTCAAATTGACGCTTTTTCCTTCTGGGTCTAACTTCAGTGTCATCAGGAAATTCTGTACTGCATTCGAGATTCTCTGCTATCTCCTTTGCAGCAATTTTCATCTGAATATATCCAGATTGTCTATAACTTTTCACTTTTTTTATGGTTTCTGATAGCATCCTTACACAATCTGATATATTTATAGTAACAGATTGCAAAAGCTTCGAAACTGAATTAATTTCAAACAAAATATCATGCCAAAGAATTACTCCACATATAAACTTGTAATTTTTAATATTTTTTGCTAACCCTCTCGCTTTAACTTTAGTTTCTGCATCTCTATTGACGTCTTCTATTATCAGAATCAATGCATCATAGATTTCGCAAAGTTGAAATCGTAAAGGTTTTAAAGCATCTATTCTGCTTGCCCACCTAGTAGCACTTAATGGTTTCAGAGTTAATTGAGAAACATATTTTTTTAGCACTTCCCAACACTTTGTAGAACCAGAAAAAAAAGTGTAAAGTTCTTGTACAATAGAAAAAAAAAATGTTGTTTCTGTAGTAGAAGACGCTGCATCATTCACAACAAGGTTTAAAGAATGGCATGCGCAGGGCACATAAAAAGCCCTTGGATATTTTTCAAGTATTCTATTTTGAACACCCTTTCATATTGGCTCCGTTGTCATAGCCTTGTCCCCTAAGCCACTTTAACTCAAAACCTAATTTTTCCAAATGTGTCAGAATAAGTTTTGCGAAACCTTCTCCGGTTGAATCACTAGCTTCAAAAAAAACCAATAAAGAATTCTGCAATTTCATATTTATTTTGAATGGAGTTAAAAGTAAAACTGTTATTGTTAAGGAGAGCTGTTCATAATGACTGACGTCGGGGGTACAATCAGCGATTATAGAAAAATATTTAGCGATTTTTGTTATTTCGACAATTTTTCTTAAAATTGAATTTCCCATTAAATTTATCAATTCATCTTGTATATTATTGCTTAGATAAGTCACTGACCATTTATCAGACTCTCGTTGAACTCTCCTGATATGTTCTTCCATAACTGGATCAAACTCAGAAAGTAATTCTACCAACTTTAGGAAGTTCCCGTTATTAGGTTGAAATAAATGTTCAGTTGATCCACGAAAAGCTAAACATTGTGAGGCCAATAGTTTAATTATTGACATAATTCTTTTTATAACTCCTCTCCAATGCTGAAGTTCCATATCCATAATTCGTTGATATTCAGCGTCAATAGTTTTTTTCTGCTTCAATCGAATGTCCAATTCTTTCCATGCTCTAAAAGCATTTTTGTGATTTACAGACTTTTCGTGCATTGTGAGGGCTCTTATAAGATTTTTCCAGTCAGAATAGCCTTTTTTGGGCCAGTCACTAATATCAGACGAATTATCAAATAATATACAACAAAAGCAAAAAACGGCATCACTTGCAATAGAGTAAATAAGCCAACTTCTCTCAACAACTTCACCATTGCTCAACACTTTCGAATAATACGAGGGCAAAAATCTACGCTTTCCTTTATTAATAGGAAACTCGAATTCTTTAATTTGATGGGGACCCCTCTCAACCAGTAGTTGACGAGTTTGAGATGACATGCAGAAAGTAAGCCATAATGCAGGATCTGAAGGAATTTCTTTTAATACCTGCTGACTGCCACTGCTAATGCGGCCCGGTTCTTGATGAACTTCTGATGATGTTATTTTTTGGATCTCTTCAACAATTTTTTCTGGAATTGATTGGGGCGGCACTGTGTTTTTATTTGCCAAATCCAAGGCAGTCGCAGTTGACGTGGATGTGCTGCCCGGCTGTTCATGAAGATCTGATGGTGTTAGTATTTGGCTCTCTTCAACAACTTCTTCTGGAAGTGATTGGGGCGGCACTGTGTCGTTATTTGCCAAATCAGTTGCTGCTGATGTGGATGGCTCATCTAAACCGCACTTTTGTACTAAGAGTTTCTTCATAACATTGCTGAGCTTTCTTTCTTGTTCCTCATTCTTTAAGCGTTTCTTTTTGTATTGACTTCCAGATAATTTTTTTCTTTTTTGTTCCATGCTGACGATTGCTGTCACTGCTGTAATAAATTTTTGTAAAAATTTTGTAAAATCTTTGTAATGTCATCATGTTTTTAACAGTTAAAAACATGATGACATTACAAAGTTAAAATTTAACTTGCAAAGACAGGCAAACACAAACGTTTAAAAACGTTTGAAAACAGTATTTTGAAACATAATAAGAAAATAGTCCACGCTAAAATGCGTTTCAAAACGTTTTTATTCATATTGAAAGGAATAGCAAAAGCGAATGCTAAATGAAGGAGAAATTTTTTTTTTATTTTTATAGAAAAATGTGGACAATGAAAAAACTTTTAAAGTGATAAAAACATTCACGAGTTTGGTAGTAATTAAAATTTAAATGAGTCCAGTTTATGATATAGTACCTAATTATTATTGCAACCCTGAAATTGCATTTTGATTTCGCTACTTTGCCGCCCCTTAATGGTGCCGCCTGAGGCGGCCGCCTCTTTGTATCATAGCACCGCACGGCCCTGTATGTATTTATTTATATATGTATAGTCTATATATTTAATATTTTCTAGATGTTAAATAATAAAAACTTAAGTAATCAAAATTTTACAAAAAGTTAAATGTGGAAGTGGAATGGAATCTGACCTTAGAGCTTGTCCAAGTCAAAAGAAATTTTCTATAAATAATGATATTTCTACATCTGCAGTAAAACAACGACTTTTTTTATTATTATTATTATATTTTCTTTGCCGTATAATTAAATTTACAATGAGAAAAAATCATTCATGTATAAAAATTGGCCGGAGCAAGAAGAAGACATAAACTGTCTTATCGCCAAGCCCCGTTTACATTAACGTCACAAAGTTACAAGTTATAAACTAAAAGGTTAAAAATTGAAGTACAATACAATATTAGTTCGACAAATATAAGACACAAGTAATAAATCGAATAAATGTTATTTGTCTGTTCAAAATTAATAGTATATATATTTTTTATTTTAATAAGAAATAAACAAGATACTTGATAATGACTTTTTTATGTTAGTGCAACCTCTGCACTTCATACTGTTTTTATACTGCATTTAATTACTTCCTTGTGAGAATCTTTAAAAACTTTGTTAAGTTGGTGTAACAAAGTTAAGTTGGTGTAGAAACAAATCATTAACAACCAAAGACATTGCTTTGTTTTTCAAAATTTAGAAGAAATAACTCAACACCCCCAGTTACAAAAATTTGAAAACTTAACCACAGCTGCAAAATTAACTATACAAAATCCTCCGTAGCAATGAAATTAACTAGTGCCGTTGACATTTTTTTGCCAATCATTACTAAAATAGGGTCTGATTTATAAAGAATATTTGGAAGACGGAGACACTAATTTGTATAATGGTGCTGGTCAATCATTAAACAAAATAGCTTCAATAATTTTAAAAAACCTCTATCTAGAAAAGCAACCAATAACTGTATTATATGCAAAACTAATATTGTTTAACCACTCCTAATCATATTGAAAATTTGTATGTCATAAAAAAAGCCATGTTTTCCATAGTTTTTCATTTGTACTTTCCGTCAGATTTGTATGATTGTCATAAATTTTGCCCTCCAGATGCTACAGATTGGTGTAAGTCCTGAGATGCTACAAGTTGGTTCAAGTCCTCGAGATGCTAAAGGTTAGTGCTAGTCCTCAAGATACTAAAGGTTGGGGCATATATTGGTCAAAAGGTAGTAAGACATAAAGATTACTAAACTGAAATCCACTGTGGAATTGATCAATTGAAAAATTGAGGTTTGAACACTTAAATGCAATCAATAGTCTTATGTACCAAAGCCTATATTTGTTAGAGATGTTTTCAGGTATTTCTAAGAAATTTGATGAACTACATATAAAACTCATAACGAGGAAAGCAAAAATAAAAAAAAAAAACCAGATCTAAGCCAGTGCCAGATCAAGGGGGGCTAGGGGGCTACAGCCCTGGGCCCCGCAAATTTTGGGGCCCCCAAAAATTTTAGAGGACCTTTTTTTTTTTTTTTTATAAGTCATATTTAGGCTCTGGCACATAAAAAAGCCTCCAAAAACAAAAATAGCCCCGGGACCCAAGATGTCTTAATCCGCCACTGATCTAAGCAGAAGGGTATCAGCTACATTTTAAAACAAAATAAACACCTTAATTTTTATTTTTATGAAGATATTAAAATTTAGAGATATATTTGTTAATATTGTTAGTTTTTAAACTTTCTTTGGATTTTTCTCAGCTTTGCATTTTATTTTCAAATTTTAAAGATATATTCATGACTCTTATGTCTTCTACATAATCTATAGATTTTTAATGAACTATAATATTAACAGTTTTATAAACCCAAGCGTTTACCACATACTACAAAACTATTTAAAGTTAAATATTTCCTCCTTAAAGTAAAGCCTATATTTTTTGTTTAAATGAACTTAATTCGATTAATACTCAAAAACACTTTTTTATATGACTACTACATTTTTTGACGCGTATCAACATTTCTTAGCAGTTGGGTGAGAAGTGTTGGCGTAAACATATTTAGTAATAAATACATAACATTGGTTTGCGGATAGGTGATTTTACTTATCATATTTATTTATGTTTTATATTCATATGTAAGAATTATATACTACTTTAATACATTTCGGAAAAATTTATTTACTTTTGAAATGTATAAAACTAAATTATTTTTAGATTTTGCATTCTCAATCGTTAAATGAGCTATCAACATAGACAAGGAATATAGCCCTTATGGACAATGGTGTACTATCTGCTCATTGCAAAAGCAAGTTGACTTAGGAAAAGATTGTTTACTTATTGGGGCTGTTCTAACTTTTATTGATGCAATCGTCTAAACTACAGACTAATAAAGCATCAAAACTAGAGAATAACAGTTACAAAAATAAAGGTCTATTGGGTGTTTCCTATTTTATTGAAATCAGTAAATTATCCTAAAGTATTTGACATAATACTGAAATCATTACATTATACTAAAGTTGAAATCAGTAAGTTATACTGAATTAACATAAAATTGACAACACTTATAACTCTTTAAAAAAAATGTTTAAAAAAAAGTATGAAGGACATTTACAAGAACAAATTGACACTATTTAATTTGGAACTGATGTAATGGTAGAGCGTTCACTTTGTAAGAAAGAAACTCAACTTGTTACTCTGCACAGCAGTCTTGTTCTTCAAAGCTTATGTTTTGGAGTCATAAAGTTGAGAAAGGGTTGTAAAAACAATTAATAAATTTAAAAAAAAACGAGTAGTCTCTTTGATTGTATTAAATCTTTAATCAGCCTTTGAAATGAGAATACAAAAATAAAAAAAAGTAGTAATAAAAAAAATGTCTGTAATTTTAAACCTGCAATTTTATTGATAATACCTCCGTATGATAATATTTATATTCTTGAGCAACACGGTTCACTACCAAAAAGGTTAGGTGAACATTGTCAAACTTTAAATTTAATTAAAATACTACTGAATGATAAATGGTTTTTAAGAAATTAGAGAACGTATTTTCCTTGATAGAAGTTATGGTAAGCAATTATTAAAAATTGTAATATAAAGTTTAAATATTTAATACTTCAAGAGCTAATTGTTAGGTATTTCACTCCAAAAATTAATAAAATAAAAATAAATATTTTAAGTATAAGTAAGTTGTTATTGCAATGGATTAAAAGATGGCGAACTCTTTCTATGTAATAACATCAATCGTTTAAAAAAATTATTTAATTTTAAAATTAATTATTATTAATATTATATGTTAGTGATAATTAAATGTAATATTGTTATATTAAAAACTAAATAATACTATTAATAGTAAACGGTAGACGTAAATTTAACTTAATCTTAATTTTTTTATTGCCAAAAAACTTTATTAGTAATATAAGTAACTTACAATACTTATAATACTAATACTAATAGTTTACCCACCATGTGCGATTATTGTTAGAACGTTTTAAATTTATAAAATGATAATAAAGTAAATAAATAAATAATTATTCGTAGAGTATGTTTTCAGCAAAGTTTTGAATAATTGAACAATAATTTTTCAGATTTAATGATTACATGGTATCATGCCTCACAAGTACTAAAAAACAAGTTCAACATACGAGTTCTGTGCACGGGAAGCCATGCAAAATATCATTATTGATGTGAATGAAAATAATCTAAGTATAAGTAAATCGAAATTTATGTACAATATTAGCAGAACGACATTAATGAATCATCTCAAGGAAGTACGTTGTAAACAAGTCGCATGTAAACGATTTTGATAAGAGAAAAAGAAACGTTAATTGTGCGTACAATACAGAAATTAGTAGGTTTTAAGATAGATTGTTGCAATGTTCTGAGTATTTTGTAGCTTGCAACTCTATTGCAATCTTGTATAACATATAGCAATAGAGCCAATATCTTAAGGATGGCAAGTCTGACTTTGATTAAATGCGTTTGAGGAATTTTTTTTTGGAAGAGTTGGGAAAATTTTTAAAGAAATCAATACTTTTTTAAAACAAATATAATCTAACCTGCCTATTATGGAAAAGTAAAACAATTATAAAAAAAAATCTATGTAAGACTTTTCTTTTCATTAAAAGAGTACCTCCCTAAACCAAAATCCCAGTCAATATATGTACACTTCATCTATTACTAAATAAATCAGTTGAAGTATATTTTTTTAATGAACTATCCCTAAATAATTCAGTCAAAAAATGTACATTTTTATAAAATAATTTCATAAAAAATGAAATTAAAAAAAAAGGTTATTTATTAATTCCCAATATATTATAATTTATTAATTGATATAATAGAAGCAATTTTTTTTTTTTTTTTTTTTTTTTTTTTTTTGTTGATTAAGGTGCTCCAAGAAGTCCTTACGGTCTTATCACAGAGCACCGCGGAAGAGCATTTAATGGGAAGTTCACGCCTCCTTCCCAACCGATGTCGCAAAACTTGCCCAGAGGTGGGGTTTGAACCAGGGATCTTACGTTTCTGAGGCAAGTGCAATTAATTAGCTAATAAAACGTAAATATAGTTGGACCAGCTCTATCTGCCAAGCTTAAACTACTATTAAATCATTGTAAGGTTGCATTTCTTTCTCTTTTCTACAAATATCGACCACTACCATGGACGCTGCTTAAACCCAGCAAGCACATAACGTTGTTTCAACGTTATTTCAACGTTGAGAAATGGTTGATATATGGTTGAAAAATAACAATCTAATTTTCAACGCTATTTTAACGTTAGTTCAACGTTGAAATTACGTAAAAAAAAAACGTTGAAATTTCAACATTGATTCAACGCTAAAAACAAACGTTGAATTAGCGTTGAAAAATAAATGTTGAAATTACGTTAAAATTTAGATACGAGAATTCGCCGACGCAAATGTACTAATAATTTGGAATTAATATTTCACATATAGTCTGGTCGCTACATGTAAAAAAATTAGGAAAACTAAACATTTTGAGTGGACATTCTGATTTTTACAAAGACTTGTTCCTTATAACTTAAGAAGTTTAAAAATTTTTACGTGCCACTTGGAAAGTAAGTTAGAGACAAAAATTGATGCAGCTTACAGTCATTCTGGGTAACTTTGAATTTGCGGGTAACATTGAACTAAACGTGTAAATGTTTTTAAATTTTTTTTTCTTTGGTATTTTCTTTGCCTGTTGCTTTAACAAAGAATAATATGATGAATTATCTTTTTTTACAAAAGTTTGACCAAAGAAAATTAAATTTTTGCTCCTCAAAAATAATGTTTTCCTCCATTTCCAGTTACACAGTCGAATGTCGTGATAACATGGTGTGTTTTCAATTTAGAATATTTGGTATTATATTGTAATTATCTGAATAGATTTTTAAGTATTTTATTGAATTATTTTTCGAACTTTAATACAAACTCAAAATAATAGGATTCAACATGTTTTTTCCTACAAAAAGGATATTTATTTCCACTTAGCTAAAATATAACCAAATTCAGGGTAACTTTAGACAATCAATATTTTCCAAAAATGCTTTTTTTGCTGTCTGAGTAACATTGCAATAATACATAATAAATAATAGGCATCTTTTTATTATAGTATTTTTATTATATAATGATATATGATATTATAAATATCAAAAATTATAATATCTATTACTAATATATTAATTTTTGATATTTATGGCTATCTTGATAGATTTAATAATATATTTTATTAATAGCAAATATGCGATTAATTAAATAATTTTTATTAATAACATAAATCATCTTTATATTTTTAGCATTCATAAAATGCCAAGAAAATGTTCGACAACTCATCCTGGCACAAGAAAATATGGCACTAAATCTAATTACACCAATTCTACACTTCAAGAGGCTTTAGCCAAAATTAAATTAGAAAAAATGTTGATTGGTGAAGCTTCTAAAATTTATAAAGTACTTAAAGCAACATTATTTTACAAGCTAAAAAGTAAACACTGTAAATCAGTAGGGTGTCCTATTGCCCTTAGCATTGATGAGGAACTTTGTTTTGAAAATCACTTACTTTATTTAAGTGACAAAGGTATACCAATTGGAATTAATGAATTTAAAAGTATTGTCAAAATCTATCTGGATGATAGTGGAAAAAATATACAACAGTTTAAAGATAACCGACCAGGTTGGGAGTGGTGTAAACTTTATCTTGACAGGCAACCATCATTAAAAGAAAAAGTATTTCAAGGAAACGTGCATTGTATTTCAAGGAAACGTGCACAGATTAATTATTGTCAAATAAAATTATTTTTTCAAAATCTAGAGAATGAATTAAATGGAGTAACGCCAGATAACATTTACAATATGGAAAAAACAGGATTTCATGATGACCCTGGAAAAAAAAAACTTATTTTTCATCGATCCTCTCGCCATCCAGAACTTATAAGAAACGCAACAAAAGCTTGTTACACTGTTGTTTTTTGTGGAAATGCCTCAGGAAAACTAATTCCACCATTTTTCATTTTTAAAGGAAAACACAGTTGGTCTGACTGGCTTTTCAATGCACCAGAAGGATCAAGAATGGCAACTTCTTGCAGTGGCTGGATGGAAATTCAAATATTTGAAGAGTGGCTGTTAAATCACTGTTCCAAATATTATAAATAAGGAAGGTAAAAAAAATTCTGATTTGCTATAATTTAAGTGCTCATATATCTTTAAAAGCCTTAAATATATGTGAAAAGCATAATATAACATTTATATGTTTGGTACCCAATTCCACACACCTTTTACAACCTTTAGATGTTGGATATTTCTCGAGTTTAAAAGCTAATTGGAGGTCAGTTCTTAATCAATGGCGTAAAACATCCAGAGGAAAAAAGATTAATAACCTGCCAAAAAATTTGTTTACGCAGCTCATTAAATCTACTCTTAATGTTGGTAAAGAAAATCTAGAACATAATCTCCAAGCAGGATTTAAGGCTACTGGCATATATCCATTTGTACCAGAACATGTTCTCTCCAAATTACCCAGTTTTACAAATATAGATATTCAACTCAATATCGGAGAATCGTTTAGGAATTATGTTGATGATATTCATCTTAATTATGAAGTAAGCAAAAAATTTAAGTTACCAATAACAGCAGGGGGAAAAGTGTATCAGCCACTGAGGTAGAAGCATCCTATAAGGAAAGAGACAATAAAAAAAAAAGTCAAGATAATATTCGAGCAAAGAAAAGAGGAAGACCACTTGGATCAAATAATATGGTTATGAAAATAAACAAAAAACTTAATATTTTACAAAGATCAAGCATCGTAAATGTTAATCAAGTTATTGAAGACAATGAACAAGTTTTACCTGTATCTCAAAATGATGCAGTTTTTTCATTGGAGCAAATAAAAATCACTATGTACATGTTTTCCTTGATCATGATTATTTTGTAAAAGAGTTAGTTGTAACTCAAGACTAAAATAATGAAACACTATAATATTTAGTTTTATAGTCAATGGTGTTTATTTGTGGAGAATTATATAAAAATAATGTCTTAATTATTTTTTCTTTTATAACCTTAAAAATTATTTTGTGAATAAATATTCACAAAATAATTTTTAAGGTTATAAAAGAAAAAATAATTAAGACATTACACATTAAGAATAAACAAACAAGTTTTTCAATAAAATATTTCGAGAATAAACAAACAAGTTTTTCAATAAAATTATTGAAAAACTTGTTTGTTTATTCTCGAAATATTTTATTGAAAAAACTTGTTTGTTTATTCTCGAAATAGTTTAACTAGATTTTTTAAAAAATTAATTAAACTAATAAAAAGAAATTTAAACAACTTTTTAGATTTAAAAGATTAAAATTGACATTCAGTTTAATAGTGTTCAAAGTTACCCGAAATGCGAGGGTAACTTTGAACGCTTACTTAAACATTGTTTTTTTACATAATATCTAGCAAATTTAAAAAAATGATAACAAACTAGAAAAAAGAGATCATCAGAACACCCTTTATGTAAAAATATTTGTTATCTAGTTAGTAAAACAATTTTTGTAGAGATAAACCTAGCGCAAACCGTTCAAAGTTACCCGTAATGACTGTATTGAAAAGATTTCTAGCATGATATATCCGCCATGTTGTTTATAAATCCAATACCGCAAAGCATTAATTTAGTTTAAACAAATTATTGATAGGGGGTTAATTGTTTGTAAAATTAGATGTTTTAAATATAATTACTTAAATCTATGTAACCAAAACTTCATAAACCGTATTTTAAAAAATAAAATTTTTTAATTTTTTTTTAATATTGTATTAAAAATATAAAATAATTTTAATTTAATAAATCTAAGAGATAAAAAAATGTTCCCGTTCTTTGTTTACGTTAAAAAATGTTTACTTTTCAAAAACTGTTTACTTTTTTTTAATTCATCGAAGTTCTTTTTAAAAGTAAGAAATTGCCGTCATAAATAAAAGAAAAAAATCAAAGTCATTTTTATAAATAAAACAAAATATTTGCATAACAAACTGCAATCATTTTAAAAGAAACGGTTAATGCAAAAATATAAAACATAAAACTAAAAAAACGTGTTTTATTTTTATTTATTTATTATTATTAAACTAAATAATGGCGAGTAGCAGCATTTTAATATGGTTCCTAAAAAAGAAATTAAAAATGCTTGTATACTTCATCATGGTGAAGTTGGTCGTAATAATAACAAACTGCGTGGTTTTACTGAAAATGCGCTTGCAAAAGTGAAGACTTGTGGATTGTGACTTGCAAACCAAGCATTGTGACTTACAATGCTTGGTAAGTCACAAACTAAATGTTGAAGGCATATATAAAAAAATAAACTCAGTTTATTTTTTTATATATGCCTTAAACAATGGTACGGAAAAAACAATAAATAGCGTAAATTTGATAACGATATTTTTTTTTTACCTTCGTCAAATTCGAAATAACTTTAAAATCATAAACATTCTACCTGAAATTCAGGTCCGTATCCAGCACTTTTTGGTCTTCGCGATATCTAACTTTTAGACATGGAGCAAACTCCAAACATTTATATGTTTATACTTATGTCAAATAAGGATGCTTTGCAAAAAATTGCGATGATTGGAGCTTGGGAACAAAAAAGCTCCAAAATTTGTGCTTCCCCTGCCCTGAGATGAAATATTTTTGTACTATTTTCAACCAGACTTATATTTATCGATAAATTTTAAATTTCATAGTAAAATATTTCAGTGTTCAATAATTATAACAATATAAAATTTGCAACCCCCTCAACTTGAGGGGGGTTTAAACTTTATATGGTCAAAAATCTCGAAGACCAAATAATGCTGGATACGGACCTGCTGATACGTGCCCAACAACTTTCTTATTTCATCAAAGATGTTACGATAAATATGTGAATATAAAAACATAAAAAATTTTATAACATCGGAAAAATAGAGCAGAAAATGTCAACGAGAGTGTAGGCGTGGATAATGCATCCTCATTTAAGCGTAGAATCTCAGCTCGGAAAAGAGATATAAAACACTTACACCCAATTGGCACAGGACCTAAAAAAGACGTCTTTTTAACGTTCAAAATGCGTCCAAAACGTTCAAAAGACGTTCAAAAGAGGTCCAAAACGAGTATAAAACGTTTAATAGCGTCTTTTTTGCGTCCGTGCCTACTGGGCAAAATTTGTAACATAAAGTGCAGCAAACATGTTAAAAGAAAACGCTTAAGTAAAGCTGAAAACCCACTTAGTATATTGGGCAAACCATAGTTTCCTTAGAGTTATATTATCATCGGACTTGTTACCTTAACTATACAAGACCCCAAAAAGTTCCTTTTGTTCTAACAAAAGATGCAATTATGCGTTTTCTCTTCGACTATGTGACAGAACACGTATTAGACAATTTAGAGATTACTCATACAAGTAAGCTATTTTAATTTGAGAAGGAAAACTGCACAGGTAGAGCAAAGATTCTAGATAAAAGGACTTTATAGGATGCTGTAGTTGCAGAACTTGCGGGTCTGTTCTGTTGCGGTCACCAAAATAGGGTATTCTTTCTTATGCAACAATATCATTGAGTAGGGGAAAATAATCCAAAACTGATTGAAAAGCTTATCCATCATGTCGCACAAAAGATTCGCAGCGAGGTTTTGTCTTTAAAAAAAATATACTTTAAACTGCCTATATATAATGAATCTATTGGTTTCGAAACCGTTTGCATTCACACGGTTGAAACAGATATTGCTATTTACGCTTTGTACTTTCAAAACCAACTTCAAATAGAATTATTTGTGGATATTGGCGTCTCTACTGAAAGACGGTCTCTTGAGATAAATCTTATTGCCTCACAGTTAGGTACTGATTGTTGTAAAGCTCATCTTGCTCTTCATGCATTTAGCGGGAACAATTATACAAGTGCATTTTACGGGATTGGTAAATCAAAGTTCCTCAAACTAATGAGACAGTCTGAAGAGTACATGTCAATTTTTCCAAGGTTAAGAACTCATATACCTCTGATGTAACCCATTTTGACCAAATCGAAAAGTTTATATGTCAGTCATAAAAATTATAATGCAGTGATACGAACGAAGGAAGATACCTTAAGTTTATTGCCAAGAAAGAAGCTACGGAACCTTAAAAGTTTTTGCCAACTAGGGATGCTCTTATGTGTCATTGTAAGAGAGTTTCGTATCAAACAGCAATTGTCAAACAATCAGTGGAGGCAAATCTCAAATATCCAAAACCCAATGGATATGAATGGCGAGAAATTGGCAATCAACTTGAGGTTAAATTGATGTTCATTAGACCTGCTCCAGAAGATGTTTTGCAGTTAATTCCTGTTCGTGTAAAAAGTCAAAATGTGAAACCCGGGTTGATTGCATGGATTGACTTGTACGCAACTGTTCGTCTTATGAAAACACAAATGATTGGGACGACACCTAAACAAAATATTATTCAACTGATTCGAATTTTCCTTTTTAAAAATCTGTTCACTAAATTTTTTTTTTCGCGAAATTTGAAAAAATTATTAGCGTGCCGTCATCAGTACCAAACAAGGGCCCGAATTTGACCCTTTAAGCACTATTAGAATTGCTCGTAAGTTTTTCTAAAGGTTTTATTATTTAATATAAGGTTTTCTTAAGAGATTATCTAACGTTTGACGTAAATATATATTTATTAGTTGAATAAAAAAAAAGTAGACTAGCGTGACGTCATCAGTACCAAATAATGGCCCAAATTTGACTCTTTAAGCACTTTCAGAAAGACACGTAAGTTTTTTTCGAGATTTTGTTATTTATTATAAGGTTTTCTCAAGAGCTTATCTAACTTTTGACAAAAATATTTTTTTTTTAGTTTGATTTTTTAAAAAAATCTCAAAATGACGTCATCAGTACCAATTAAGGGCCCAAATGTGACCCTTTAAGCACTTTCAGAGAGGCACGTAAAGTTTTTCTCATTCAAGATATTAATGTTAAACTATTTAAGTAGTTTTTATAATGCCCGCTTCATTTCCAAGAAAAAGTTACACGTAGCGTCCAGACTAATAGATTTGTGCATGGGAAAGTTCTTTAAAAACTTTTAATATTAATGTATTAAAAGTATTAATGTAATAAAAGTGGAAACATTATAACATTTTTTGCTATAAAAATATGTATAATTTTACAAAAATTTATATGAATTTGCAGTATACACCAATTTTGCTAGATAAAAATAATAAGTAAAGCTTCTGCTGTTATTTATCTCAGTAATTGTTTTTCATTTCCGTTTTGACCTTGTCCTTTGTACCTGTAAAATTCAAGTTGTTCTTGCCTCTTTTCTTTAATAACACGCTATTGGTGATGCTCTTGTTACTGTATTATTATCGTTTTATTTTAAAGCCTGTTATTTAGCATTTTCAGCTTCTTTTTAAAATGCTCTTTCTTTTTCGTTTTTTTTTTTTTTTTTTTTTTTATTTATTTTGCATTTTAAGTGTTTATTATTACCTGATATTACTCATGTACTTGTAATATGTTATACTTTTTGTCAAATTTATATATGTAGTGAATATCTGTAGGTCGTCACGTTTTTTGTCAGTTTAATAACTGTTTGTGACTGATCCTAACTTTGTATTTACTTTATAAAGTGAAATAAAATGATTGATTGATTGATTTGCATATTTTATATAAAAATGCAAAACTTGTGTATACTGCAAATTCATATAAATTTTTATGTGAATTTGGATTAAATTTTTATATCAAGATGGATCAAAGTCTTTATAATAAGACTTTGATTGTATGTTTTATATATATATATATATATATATATATATATATATATATATATATATATATATATATATATATATATATATATATATATATATATATATATATATATATATACAATCAAAGTCTTATTATAATTATGAAACTATAGTGTAGACCTGTATGCTTTGGTTTGTATAGTCAAAAGACAATGTGTTTGTATAAATGAAATTACATCAAGTTGAATAAAGAATGGTTTTGTCCATTGTCCGAATGGAAATGTGAAATTTGCAGTAAAAAAAATTAAAATAAAAAACAACAGTTGGTTAGTATA